TGACATCACTCAACCCCCTGCGCTATTGATAGGATGGATAAGAGGTCACCCCCCAAAGAATCTGGCTGAACCTACCTGCCATTGGACAATTTCACACACCATTCAGCTGACATTTGACAGCACATGATGAAGCTCGGTAAGTCATCGGGTGTTCATTCCCCGAAATGCTAGTGGCCTCAATTTTCGGTAATGAAATTTGGAAAACGCTCATGGGCTCCGCTCTCGGCGATTTGCCTTCGCCTTCTTTCAGCGTTGACATGGCACATGCAACAACTTGGGACCACCACCACCCCGTTGCTATGCGGGTGATGCCTGATGTGTTTTTGTGCACAATTACAAAATTCCCGGGCTTGAATGCAGCCCTACTTTTTGTATCTTGGGCACCTAGAATGATTCCTGTGAGGTGTTGGGCACTTCTGTCAAGTGAACAGACGGTGTAGCAGCATGCGGCAATTCTAATGTCGTGTGTCTTCCTCCCGTCTATGGCTGCCATCTCTGTGGCTAACACTGGTGCGGTTGCCTGACTTGCCTCACAGTGCGTCGGATGGTCGAACCGCCCCAAATTCGGGACAAGTTTGATACAAGCGCTGAGCATAGCCTTCAGAGCTTGAATTACACAACGCTGATGAGCACCATCGTGCCCCAAGCTAATGAAAACACCACTTCCGCAACATCGGCAGCGGTATTTCGGAGTGCAACGACATGCCCAGAGAGCTGACTCTGTAGTATCATGCAGTCATCCTTTAACCCAACCTGCCACGTCGGGCCGCTTTGCAGATGTAAAAGCGAGTGGGTGGTCAACAATGCGGGTTTATTGGACTGTCGTGATTCATTTAACCGGGCGCTGCTCCTTCGTCATTGGGCTTGAAGCAAACTCACTGAAGGTAGTCCAGTCGCCTTGAACTACCAACTTGGGCATTCATAGTGATGCTTCGTGTAGTCGAGTCCAAATTCGGGGCTGCAGGTCCCTCACGCCCTGCATCTATATCAGTCTTAACCAGCTTATGATGACAAGCACCTCACGATGTTTTCTTATTTTTGTATGGGAAGTCGTAGATCTTGCTCTGTCTTTGTTCTAGTCATCATGTACGAGCAGCATGAATTCTTCCATGTCTCAGCCACGTCCACCACGGCCATCCAGATGGAACAAGCCCAAGAAGAACAGAACCTCCGACAGTACTTCATGGATTGATGGGGAGATATCAACAAATCAGAGCATTTTTGACTTGTTTCTGGACGTTCCCGAAAAGTCCCCCCGCTTGGGCTACGAGTGTCCAATCTTTCGACGAGTATTTGGCCCAACTACCCTGGAAGATGTGCACAAGGGTATCTATGCCCCTGAGATGGACTCTGTGTGGCTATATGACATGGACGTGAACAACAACCCTCGAGACTACAGTGGCATATGTTCAATGGCTGATTTTGATGAACGCACTAAGTGGAAGGTATGAAAAAGCCCATTGCCCGATCCCGAATCACCGACCGACGACTCCATCCTAGGCCATATTTATCACGATGGCGCTGAATAGTGTCGCTAGCGAATGCTTACGTCAATATTGTAGCGTATAGACGAGAAGGGCATGGTCAATGCTGTGAGGAGAAGGATGTAAGTTTAAAAATACCACTATGCGGGAGATGGCGCGTGTCAGTTTCCCAGACTAACACAGTCAGTTACATATCAAATCCCTCTCCTACTGCTATGAGTATCTTGGCTCTTCGGTCATCATATGAGCAAAAACAAATTATCAAGCAGCTCCTATTTGATTATTTAGATGCCAGTACTTCTGTTGGAATCAAGCCTAGCGTATGTTCCCGCAAATTGGCATTGTATACCTATCTTCTAATTCTGTTGAATGCAATAGGAAAGTGATGACTTCGTTCTGGAGTTTCATATGCCGTGTCTTATCTGGCAAAAGGGTCAGCCAAGACGAGAGGACTCGGGTCGTACAACAAATGGGGGCCTTTTGCGAAAAACCATTGATCTGTCCTTCCTGGCGACATCAATGGATGACAGCAAGACCGATGGCCAAGGACTAGCGGACGTTGACTATTTATACGAATGTCAAACTTCCTTGGTAGTCATAGGATGGGATATATCTAGTTGGACTGCCATCTGTCTGGCGGACTCATATTTCGAAAACCAAGCCGACGTCGAAGACCCGTACATGCTTCCGCATTATGCCAAGGACCCAGACACGCCAGACTTCGATCCACTGAGTATTGGGAAACTTACCGCCGACAAAAAGGCGACTGTAGACCCACGAGAGTACTTTCTTCTCATTGTCAAGTGCCGCATCATGCGACTACGCGAAGAGTGGACCAATGTAGGCCACCACCTTGCTGAGAGGATTAATGAATATGTAAGTTGGCACTCTATCGTAACGTTTCTGTCATACCTTGTTGATAGTGGATGGATGGATTTGCTAATTTACATACTTGCCCGCTTAGATCTCAAAGCCTTCGCTGCTCCTACGACGCCGGAACACCAATTTGGGTACCGCCGACGAGGACTCTGCGGCTGTCGAGTCAAGCGAGGAATGGCTAAAGCAAGTTCGCAACCTTCTCAACCGACTGATGGAGATGCTTGAAACAAGCGTGAATATATTATGCAGATTTCTTGACAGAGACCTTTGCCGGATTGATGCGCAAGCTGATGAGTTGACATCATATCATATGAGAAACTCCTTTGATAAGATCTCTGACTATGTAGAAGACTTGGGGAAGATCTTTGAGCGGTTCAAACGCTTGAAGGCTGCTGTTGAGAATTTTGCATCGCAAGTAAGTCATTTATAGGGAGGGGTTTGAGACTTGTTGATCGCTGACTTCTTTGTTCATAGCTTGAAACTCACATTGCTGTCGAAGGTGTTCGGGCTCTCAAACTGCAACACCTTAATGTTACTATTGTAAGAACACCCATGTGAGGTCTACGTGAAGTCTTTGGCTTTAGGATGAGTCTTAGAAAGTAATATTACGATGCTGATCAAAGTTTCGGAATAGCTGCAAGTGTTTTCTCCGATGGCGCTAGCCGGCAGCATTGTACAGGCTGGAATCGTTGTGGGAAACGTGGTCGTCTGGTTTTTCTTTTTGACGTTAATCTTGGCCGCAGTAACCAGGAGCCTGCATCCTGTGAGAAAGTGGTACGAGGAATGGCAAGGCAGTCGTAAGCAGTTGGCTATCGACTCAACGCAAAAGAAGTTAGAAATAGATGTTGGCAGCCAGGCAACAGCGACGGGATTCTCGACATTGTCTTGTACGGCGCTCTTCCGCAGAAGACAGGCCAGGAAGTCAATCGACACGCTTCCTCGGTGACTCTTCACGATTCAAGATCAACAAGAATACTGCTATCGAATTAGAATTTGGTTTTCTTCTCTCGCCTGATTGTACAACGGATATTTCTTTCACGTGAAACGTGTCTTGTCTATTCTTATCCCGTTCTAGTTATCTACAATTCATGTCCCATAGATCGCCTATAATCATCAGCCTGTGTGATAGCAACAACAGTTGCGCAGTTCATGGGCTGGATGCAGCATTACGTCGGCTCACGATGGCAGTTATGCCCCAGGGACCATGGCACAAGGAGCCGGTCTCGGATAAATGAAGGCCGCCCATTGGGTGCAACTAAAATGCGACCCTTTTTCAGCTTTCCTCACGGGCAATCCAAGCCTCACATCCCTGCAAGATACACAGACCAGGACACGTACAACCTCACTGTACTCACACGCGAGGCATTCTAGTGTTAAAGACTGCCTGTGCAACAACTCCTAATCGGCCTCATTATTTTACCTCCAAATCGGGGATACTTGTTGTTATATACCACGGCCCACCTAGCGGCTCTGACTTGCTCCGCTCTTGGTGACCAACGCAGAGTCCTAAAGCTTAGTACAACAACCCTGGGCCAAACCATCCTAGCACTACACGGCCCCTATCGAACCAGCTAACGCAGCCGTCGGACTCTCCGCGATGGACATGCAAGAGCGAGGTCCTAAAAGGAAGACAGTCACGGTTTGGACGTGTGTGAGTGCAACAGATGGCTGCGATGTCCACAATGTCGAGCTCTACTGACGTGGCGTTTGTAGTGTCAATGTGGTTATGGCCCCAATCACATTCAATCTGATGCCTGTTCAAGTTGCAAAACAAGCAGATGCGCATATTGTAATTTGCAACAAGTGGCCATCAAACAGTCGCGTCCACAGGTGGAATTGGTGGACGATGTCCTGGACTACCATTACGTAGTGAGCGGGGGCAGGCAAGCGGAGGCTGCAAATCACGTACGTTGTACGGTAAGAGATTGAAGGACAAGCCTTGCGAGACCGTATTCGATCGCTGCCTCCCATCAAGCAAAAGGCCTGCCATTATTGTGGACAGTCACAGTGTCTCCCTTTTGCGAAGCCAACAGTCGCTTGACTTCGAGCCTAGCTACTCAGGAACAATGGGTTAAGACACTGCCAGAAGAGTGGTTTGGCGAAATCTAGGAAAAGAAATGGCCGTAACATAACGTCATCGGTGATCGGCGCTGGCGCGCGTGATGCCCGGGTGTGGCTGCAAACAATGTTGATTCGTAGCGATTACGACCTTAGGACCATTATCCGGGAAGGACCGGACTGAACGGGTATATACATGGCCAATGGGATGCATCTTTTTGCGAAGTTCATGGATACTCACTAATTTACTCAGAGCTCCATTTGGGCGTCAGCTCGGCTGACAGTGATTAGCCGATTACACCTTGCCTAATTGATTTGACTTCTTTTTCGCCTTCTGATAAGTATTCAGCTAAAAATGTCTTTACATTGTTCGGACTTTTCCCGATCGTAACCCTCATAGAATCCAGACCACATGACTCGATCTGCACACCTTGGCCTATCTTCCCTCTCTACGTCCTCATCTGGGCATTCTGGCAGAGACGCTGCCCATTGTTGCTTTGTTCTCGGCAACCATGGCTTTGGCAAGGGCCAGTCGCTAAAGTGGACGAGGAAGGACCGCGAGACCTCTCCCATCGCATTTCACTCCTCGTCTTCTTCCGGTGCCAAATACTTCGTATGGTCCTTGGCGCGAAACTCGCCAGTCAACAAAGCGAGACGTCGATGGGGAAAAATCATGGCTGAGTCCTTGAACATGTGATTGACAACCTCCATGTCGAAGTCTCCAGATCGCAGAGCCTCGTCCATAATCTTCTTGTAGCGTCCTTCGTTCGGTTCGATGAGCATGACGTGCGATCCGAGGACCTGTTTGGCGATGTCGGTGCTTCTCTCGTTGAGCCAGTATGCCCTTGGGACGGCGACGGGGGCTGCCGGGCTGAGGAAGTAGTGATCCATTTTGTTGAGGACGAGTGAATCTGAATCGAAGGCGAGCACTCGGGTCCATTCAATGAGCGCAAAGGCATGGAACTTTGTCAAGCTCTCCCGCCAAGTAGCATCGCCCCTAGTTGTTGAGATGACATCGAAAGCTCGCATGTGGATTTCGGGTCGTTCTTCTTTGAGTTTTGCCAAAGCCTGTGCCTCATGAGACGATTTGACAGAGATTACTGCATTAGTATGGCAATCAAATGTACCCCGGAGTCAATTCCACTCACGCCCTCTAGCCATCCTTTCGGGTGAATAAGAACCAAGTCTTCTTTCGCGCCATACCGACGCAGGCGTCCAAAGTTGATCACCTTTAGAACGAGACGGTCAGTGTGCCCTATACCCTTCTAGGTTCCGTATTCAACATACCGCATTGCAGAGGTAGCTGAGGCTAGTCGCGTATTGCGCGTATGCAAATTTGGGTTCGAGCTGCTCTGTTGTCCAATACGGTTGCCAAGGTGGCGATTCGATGAAATCGTTGACAGGAGCAGGTCGAAGTTCGGGTGCCAGAAACAGGATGGTCGCAGAAAATACAAAGATTGTGAGGATGATAGCAAGAAGGGCCTGTACCCTTCGAGGGAATGTCAATCGCCTCAAGACTTGAAAAGTTCCCCTCCCTCGCTGTTCGGCCGATGCCCAGCTGGCGTCGCTGCTGATGGCATCTAGCGTCCACGGCATCTTCAAACCCACGGCCAACGTCAAAGAGTTAGAACTGGTCGCAAATCTCTGTATATCGGGGCCAGTGAGATTAAAAGAGCGCTGCATTGGGACTGACTAGCAAGCAGGTAGGTGTACCGTGTGGGGATTCCCCTGGACCCAACTACAAGGCAGTGCCTCGGAAATGTAGATGCGTACAGTCTTTCGCTAAGCCATTTAAGGCACGCAGACCACCCGGCCCTTTGGCTTCTGCCGGTGCGCGCAGTTCCCGTTACTGGGCTTAGCTAGGTAAGATCGAATGGGTACCGAGTATTAAACCCGTCCCCCATAATTCCTAAGAGCACGAATAAGAATCAAACCCGCCTGGTACGGAAGAGACGTACTTGAATCTCTCTGCAGGGGACATCGGACGGCGCTTTCATTTGCCATTCTTGGTTCCTGGGCCGAAGACAATGCGCCAGCTTGTGCAGTTGGTAAGCCGAGGTGCAGTACGAAATCTTTCTATTGTTTGAAGGTTTTCGTTGTTTCGTTAATTTGTTTCAATTCGTGGCGTATTGTTTCTTGGAGTAGTCATTACACCAGCCTTCAACCTGCCGTGGAGCTGTCAAGTGGTTGCAAAGTATCAATTGGCCAACTCCTTTCTGGATATCGAGAGAGGCTCCTTCACTTCTACGTACATCGGTGCATTAGTGGTAGTCTTGCCAATACTGTTGCGCCAGAAAGAAAAGCGAGACCGAAATGTGGCTGGAATTCTTATGTACAGTGTGCCTAAAATCTCGTATCCCTTTTGTTTGGTCAACCTAGCTAGGGAAGTTCGTGTAGTTTAGTCGTGAGGCGCAGACTCTATCCCGTCTTGGCACGAGTGGGTAACTGTCTTGAAGTGGAAATTTGCACCCGAGGTTCGATGATTACCCAGCTTCTAGAACCCAGACAGATCGATAGTGTAAGCCAGATCAGATGAAATTTCTGATTAGTACGGAGGTGTCTGGTTGAAATTGAAAAAGGAAAAATTGATATTCTTTTTCACCTCAGAATGAGACCACATACGATTAATAGCAGTCAGAATGCGTACGAGAGATTTGCTCGTTAGCCAGGGCGGCTTTCACACCATAAAGCACTCAAAATGGGAAATGGGGCGACGCTAGGCAGCAGAATATGTATGGCTCCGCATTGACGAAAATAGACCGCGCTTGAGCCGAATCACGCCGCCATCGTACCCAGCAACGGTTGGGCGCATGGAGAGGCTCAGAGCCCATCGGAAGTAGGGACTAACTCGGCCTATCATACGTCGTGACGCGGCGGCACCCCTTCCTAGAAAATCGTCTGGAGAAGCATAACTCATTATGAACCATACCTACCTAATGGTTGATCAGCGATACATGGATACATTGATGTTTATCTGAGATCGGCATGTTCCGCTAGTGACTCTTCCCTTCTCGTATCCAACATCTTGTCTTGGCTGTATTTCATTCACAAGATTCACCTTACTTTTCGAAGCACAGTCAGTCCCAATGTGCGATGATATTGATCCCCAGACTCGTCGCAGCCCCTGGGCAGCAAGCACTAGTCTGACCCTAGTGAGTAAGTTGCTTTTCCCGCAAGTAATAGAACCTGACCACAAGCAAGCTTGTTATTCAGAACTCCGTCTCCCTGATTGTACGTTCCCAATCTTATCCTAGGTCCTGTATCAATAGAATGCTAATCAAACCTGTCAACAGTTGCTGCATAAAATCCAACAGCCTAGCCTTGACGATCGAAACCGATACGAGCCACTGACGGCAGTGATACTTTCCGAGACCTTGAAGCTTGTTGTTTGTGTCATCCTGCTGGGGCTTGACCGGACACCGCCGATGGCGAGTACAAGCAGGATACAGCGGATTGCCGACAACTTTCTGGATGACCACCTCAAAGCCGCTGCTCCGGCTATGCTGTACACTGTCGCAGTCGTACTACAGAGCGTGGGCGCGCGCAACCTAGATGGCACGTCATTTGTCGTACTCTCCCAACTGAAACTCATATTGACGCCAATTTTCGCGGTGGTCGTCCTTCGACAATCGTTGACGCTCTTGCAATGGTTGTGTCTCTTCACGATAGCGGTCGGAATAATTCTGGTCCAAACAGCAGCATCCTCTGCCGCAACTTTTGATTCGAAATTTGCTCAAGATATCAGAATAGGGACCCTTGCAATGTTGGTATCCGGCACAAGTGTTGCTTTCGCTGGTATCCTGATGGAATCAATTCTCAAAGCTCCCGATAGGTTCATTGTCCGCAATGCCCAGCTTGCGGCTTACGCATGTCTCTGCGCGGGCTTGAGCCTTCTGGCGCGTTCCATAGTAACAACAACGACGACGACAACAACGTCCACGAGTCCTTTCAGTAATGGCATCGCTTCGTTTTTAGAAGGATACCACATTCTTGTCTGGGTCTTCGTCTTCCTTCAGGCGGCAGGCGGACTTACAGTCGCATGGTCCGTTCGTGCCAGCAATACTATAGCGAAGAACTATGCTCAGGCAGTTGGGTTCATCATCGCGTCCATCGCTCCATCGTTTCTGTCGCCGCATGGGACTTCATATAGGGTGAGTCTATAGCTTTGTGTGCGATACAGGTCTTCTAACACAGACATTGTTCACATTTCCACAGGAGTTGGACTTGTGACAGCTGGTCTGCTTGTCTCCTTGGGCGGCTCTCGAAAGAGTGCACCTACGGTGCCGAATCGTACAACGTGCAAAGACGTAGAAAGGTTGACAGAACCTCAAACTTAATTGAGTGCTTTGCCTTCATTCGGCTAGTGTCCGCCACCAAGTATCAGTGAACAGACACCTGTGGTTTGCCATCTGCTAGATAAGGCAGCGAAGCGGAAGAAGCTCCGTTTAAAGCGGACGTAAATATGTGTATCTGCCATCCTATCTTGCACAAGTCACCACCCAAAGCTGATTCACTGCGGCATGTCTCAAATTTCGGACTTTTTGTTGTCTTGCGTTTTAAGTCGAAGGTATGATCTAGTAGCTGGAAGAGTCGTCAGCCACCGTACCACCTGGTTTCATTCATCACACTCGTGATATGACACACACCGCAAGATCATGTAGGTAAATAGAGATTATATTTTTGTACTCTTCGAATGATCACACACAGAGATCCGCCTAGATGCAACGAATCTCCTAGTGAGATCCAAGAGATCAGTTCCGGCACTCTGTGAGTACCAATATCTTCATGTTACCCACTTATCGTCCCTAGGTACTTAGGTATGCTGACCTCCGGCGTTTATTGATTTCATGAGAGGCTGAACATCTGCAAATCAACAATTGATTGTCGACATTTCTAAGATTTTATCTCATTCCTCGAGCGTTAATGCGAAGGTTTATGGGATGAAAGTCAGGACACATTGAAGCATACAATTATTCTGAGCCATTGCGATGCATCTATGTCGTAGCAACGAAGAGCAAGCAACCCACTTGTACTCAAAAATAGCAAGATGTCAATTCATGGGCAGATAATTCCTATGAAGGACTGAATAGTTGAAGTTGGTGCTTGTCGGTGTCTCAATCTAGGTGGCGTCTGTGTGTCTTCAAGCCATTGCGACATGCGTAGCATGTCGCACATGCAGGGAAATATCACTCATTAACTGAAGTTTTATGAAAACTCCTCCTTAGATCTGTGGGCCATCTTCGGGCTCAAAACTGTCGATAGTCTTAGAATCCTCCATACTTGAGGGTTGCAGAGACGCCCAATGAATGCAACTATTTCAGTTTTCTTCACAAGCTCAACAGAAATATTCCATCAATTCGCATTACCTATCAGTGGAACCACCAGAACAAGGCATGAATAAGAGGCGGTGTAATTGGTACTGGCATCCACAAGGTCTGTTCTCATAAACCCCAATCGGTGTGATGTAGGCTGCATTAACTCGGGCTACAGAAGCAGGCTACGGCCGGTGTCTGACGAATAACAAGACACTTTGCAGAAAGGGTGTGCACTTTTGTACCAATACAGGACAACTAAGACGCACGATCCATGATTTGAAGTCAGTGACTGGTTCGTTTGTGTCTGGATGAAGGCTGACTCATTGAAAGATTTGCGGATGTGTTGTCAGCAGACCTACATGCATGCGATGCGAGTTCACAGACACAACACCCAAGTGAGACCGACGAAAATATCAACCAATCAACCAATGCATATCGTCCCCCAACAAACTCAAACCAGCGCTTCACCGTCTTGCCTACCTCCGCTGAGGTTTGCCAGGGGCTGTAGCCCTCCGCGAGTGGCACCTCTCGTCCTCTCCGTCTAGACTTCGTCCCTTACATTTACACAGTCTTCCCCGCCGCTTCGTGGCCTTTCTCATCTCATTCTACTTTTTTCAATTGATCTTCATTTCTGATCTTCCAATACTCTATCACGTTTTTCGAAAAGTCTCGCGCGTTCGCGGGTCCATTTTCTTGCGACATGGGAACATCCATGTCCGAGAACGATCTACTCGGCCGCCGCGTTCATCACGCGGAGTTGCTTCGGGGCTTCTGTCATCTGTGTAATTTTATCATTCATGAGTTTGATCTATCGGAAAACAGCTCGAATGTTTCCGTGTTTCTTTTTTATATCCCACCACGGTTTCGTATATTCCTTCCGTGTGTGCCTTTCTTTCCCTCCCGTTCTGGGTGGCCTGGAAACTTTCTCATTACTTCCCTCCTACCCATCATCTTCGTCTTAATGAGATGCACGTGGCATCCATCGCGCATATTTGATTCGTACCGTTTCATTCATCAGAAGGCTCTTCTTCTCGACACAAAAGACCCCTATGTGCCTTCAACAGTTGAAGGCGAATACTGCTTTGCACAGTCTTGTTGAAGTGACAGTGATCTGTCCATAGCCCCTAGAATGAGAGCAGCGAGATCCCGATATTCTTTGTCGAATCCAGAATAACTATAGGGCTTCTGGTGCCACTGCAGCCCTCGTTTCCTTGTTTTTCTATGTTGTCACTAGATTCTGATCTTCGAGACTGGACAATATGCGCAGCGGGCAGCACCACAATTGAGGCATGCATCGTATCGAATTTCCAATCGGCCTTGCCCGCACTGGCACTGCTCAAAGGTTAAATGATGAAACATTCTAATGAGGCTGTTCACATACACATTGCCACAGATACACCTGTTTTCTCTTCGGTCCTCGCTGGACGAAATCAAACACTTTCTCGACTGGCATGTCTGAATCTCCCGCAAACCAGGTTCGACGGACAGCCGGAGGAGAAGTGGAACAATCAGATCGATATGTTTCCAGCCAAACGCTGTCTATGGTCTTCCACATTTCGGCCGTCTCACTGGAACAATAATCCAAGCAACCACAGTCTGCCGTACAGGCAGGCAATCTGCATTGCCGGAGAGGGGTTTTGTCGAAGGGATCAGCCACGTATACTGAAGGTTGTAAAAAACAACGGGTATCGAGGTGAGTCTGAGATGTTCTGTTGTTCGTAGTTATTGCCTGTGGCTCGGACCTGAATCTTCCAACTCCTGTAGTGCTTGTTTCGTCATTCGCTGATGGCATTCGGATCTTTTGCTGTCTGGTTTCAGGGACTTCGAGCAATGCGCTGTGAGCTCCGTTAGACGGCAGAAGACGTGATCCAAAGGCTCAAAGCAGGAGGCGCGAGGTCAAGAATCAACGAGTGAGGGCAGGGCTATGAAGGGCTCCAGGTGGGCAGCTGCAGAGACGTCTGAACCAGCCCTGGGCGACAGACATTGGGAACTGTTTCTTGACCCCTCCAACAATGGGCAGCGGTGGTTTTTGGAGTCTGCTTTCATTTTAATATTTGTGTGAGCAAAAAACCTATTCGATTGTAGGTTTTTGAGGCTATGTATGTGAGACACCAATGAATGGACAACCGTCATACTGGATGATAACCAATCACAAGTTAATAATAATACACACCGCTTCATGCGACCTGTGCCCACGCTAGCGCCTGAGGCTGACTGCCGGTGACACCCAGAGCGTATGGTGGTCACCTGAGACATTCCATTATTTCTCAACAAAATAGCGACCCAGTGGGCCGATGTTGTGAGGTGCCAAGGTCCAAAGGTAACCTATCTTTCGTTTTGATCCCCTAGATGACGTACACATGCTTTTTTCTACAGAGAGAACAGTGTTTGTCGTGTTCAGATTACGCTAATTAGCCTGAATCCAGACTAAATATGCAATGGTGTCCAACATCACATTCGCGCGCGCATAAATCTGTACTACCCAGATGTGTCACGTCGCGAGAAACATTACTTCAGCTAAGCTGGCCCCAAATTCGGTAATGGTGCTGGCCCTGCTTCAAGAAATCAAGATGATACGCTTCTCGAAGTCTATAGCATAACGTATCTCGCAGTGGCCGCCAACTTGCACAACTCAGATCGCAGGCATGGTAGCTGCGGTGAGATGGGTCTATTGTATTTTGAACGGGTACAGGTAGATGCAGGAGCTTGAGTGATGGTTATGCATGTACGCACGATGACCCGGGTAGCCTGATATATACACCCCACAAGAACTCTACTGCTTCATGACTGCTGGACGCCCTTTGCCCTATGTAGCAAGGACGCACCGGAGTGAGATAATACACACACGCACACACGCACACACGCAGATAATGCCCTCCGCTAAAGTATCTGCGCAGCTCAGCCAGTAGATATCATACATTGTCATATCGACTGCCAGTGGACCACAGTACTTGGGTGTTGTAGTTGTCCCCAACTCAGCCATAAAATCGGAATAGGTAAGAAAAGCCCATTCATTTGTTCTTGAAGGTGGGGGTTAGATAAATCCACGTCTGTTTTGTACTGTAGCTCGTAGGCAGTTGAGGGAATAGATAATCATCGCTCCTTTCGGAATCTTTATGTGCTAGCCATACGTGCGCAGCCTTTTTAAGACCGGAATGGACGGCTTCGCTTTCTTCAATGTCAATACCCGTTATACCTCCAATAATAGCGTGCGCCTGCTAAGTGTCACTATCGCTGACTAAGGATATGACAGTTAAGCGCAGGACACACCGGGCCAGCGTATGATCTTTGCCGCAAATCTGTAGAGGAACTGGGCTCAGAGTAGTACCACGTACTCACGCAGGGAGAACTACTGATAACAGCGATATAACTTGGGGTCGAGATCATAGAACTTCTTGGGTCCCCATCGGTCATCTCGTGGACAGCATGTTACCTGTACTCAAGGGAGCGTGAGCTTGTCTCACTCCATTGGGCATAAGTCCAGGTCAGTGAAGGACAAGGTGATAGTTAATGTGCAAATCTTGGTGCCCGACTTGAAACCCGGTCCAGCACATGAGCCCGGTCCAGCACATGAGCACCAGTCTCAACTCACCATTGCCCAGTTTGCGCTAGTACCCTTGTCTGGCGGATTTCATGAACGTCATGACGTGCAATAAGCTAAATCTTCGGTATGCTAATCGTGGAAGTTCACCACCATGAACGTCTAACAACCCCCATAATTTATCAGGTACCTAGGTTTCGAGGCTGACCATGTAATAGGCTATATGGTAGCTAAATTCAGGAAGAGCAGTCTGTCTCGTGCTACTCCCGGCAAGATGATCGCAGTATACGTACTTAGGGGCCGGACAACCTCCATGATATGACTAGATAGAGAGTTAAGGATGTTTCAAGTTTAGACGGCGCAGCGCAGCTTGATCGCCACAGACTCGTCACTAAAAGAACCTGCTAAAGTCGCATTCGAACGGTCAACGCATTCGGTATCATGTAGGCAGTCAGAATACATCATTGGTGGAGAATAATACCACATTGGATGTCACAAGGCCTCCCGTGAGTAGTACCGCAGATAGAGCCAATCTATACACAGCAAGAGACGCTAAATACTTTTCTCACCTAATTAACAAACTTCATTGTCCCGGGATTTGGGACAAAGCTTGGGCCAAATGTTTTAGCGTCTTGCGGTATTCGATGGGATAAACTCACCTGTGATAGAGCATTATGTTTCCTTCTAGTATCGCGTCGAATACACATGTAGGACGTTCGTGTCTGTGTTATAATCAAGGTCGCATGTACTTATCTAGACTTCAGATTTCCCTACTTCGTGAGGCCTGACATGCTATCATCGGGTGATTGGTTAGAGATTAGACCTCAGGTGCGCGTCTTCGATATTTCAAGAGACTGTCACAAGGGAATACCACTCAATGGAATTGTTATATACATTGAACATTTTCTTCTACCGGCGGCTAAATGCCCGCGATGTCACACTACCTTGCGATATTTCCGCAAGATTGACATATGCGAATTCGACACCCAATGAATTTAATTCCACCTCTGACTCTTGCCACTTTCCACATCCGTCAACAGTACAAATTCCGCTTCAGAGCGCTTTGGAGTCAGCCGGCGAGCAATAGCATTTGAACCCAAGGTATTGCCTGTAGAGTCTGTTGCGCCTGAGCCTGAGGATGCACCCGAAAGTTTCGATTTGATAGTAGTGAATGTAGCATTCTTGGCTGTGAGTCCAGAAAGAAACTTGTAGACAGCAGGAAGGGATGCTGTGATGATACCGGCGTACAGCTCGATGGTACTCCAATAAGCGGCATCCACGTAATCGTAGGTGATGCTGCTCTGTGTTAGCAAGTGAGATTCAAATTGAATGAATGGAAAAGAACTTACTTAGTGCTGTTGGCGAAAACCACCAACGTGCGAAGACGAATGACACTGGCAATTGTGACGCTGGAGAAAGGTCAATAATGGTTCGAAGACACCCCCCACAAGCTGGTGTACCCACAAGATTCCTAAAGAAAACACCACCATAACCATCAACTTCTTTTTCAGAGGCATTTGCAGAAGGTAAAGTTGGTGCAGAGGAAGCACAAGAATGATGACATCCAACACGATGTTGAACGCAGCACTTAGCCAACCCTGAAGGTGGATATTGTTGCAACGACCGAGATGCTTCTCTTCCAGCTGCAGCCACGCATGGTTGATAGGCCAACACTGGAACAATGTGGCGAAGAAGAAAGCCGCAGCATAAGCGAGAACAAGACCCATAGTGACCCAAATGGCTTTGCTGAGGTTGTTATGCTGGAAGATGCGGTTCAAGAAGAACAGGATTGACAGCTTGTTCATAGCCTGTGCTAGGAAGTAGAACAGCTCGCCGAGAAAGTAGTACTGCGGGATGTGATATCAGTATATACTCTTGAGAACGAAGTAGAACACCTCAGTATAATAGCATACCTCAAGAACATTCTCAATATTCTTCAGAGGAAGAGTCCACATATCCTTGCCCAAGCCATTGTCAACCACTGTAAAACACAGTCAGCATTGCTTCATACCCGACAACCCAAGCGAGTTCTTACAAGTAAAGGCAAAAACAGTCGGCGGAACGGTGAGAATAACACATGCAATGATCGTCCAGTCATCCCAGCCAAGCTCTCGACCAAAACCAGGCAGAGCAGAGCAAAGACGCAAGATGAAAAAGACAAGCGCAAGAGCAAAACCAACTCCTGCAACGAGGGGCGGCTTCAAGCTCTCGTCTCGCATGGGAAGACCGCACATAGTAGCGGAGCCATTCTTCGTTTCTAAATGCGACAGAACAGTCAGTTATCACCCTTCTAACCGATTGGATACCCCAGATGTGACAGGCAGGGACTTACTCAGTGCGTCCTCATAATTGCAACCTTGCAAGACACAGACACTCAGGTTCGCATTGAGGGCCTCGTTCGTACAAAGGCAAGTCGTGTCCGTGAGTGAACAACCTGATGTTGGGACAAGCTCGGTCAAGCAGACGAGCTGGTTACCAAAGTTGGTATACGATCAGCGACACCATTTTTGGTCGACGCTAGTGGGGGATCTAGCGTATGAAAGGGGCCAGTGCTTCATCGTTTACTTACTGCACATGCCGGGTATAACTTCTTTGCCATGGCCAGTGCTGCGGCTGCGGCTTCTGCATCTGTCTGGGCCATGGTGTTTGAAGCCATGAAGGAGGCGGCTAAAACCGCAAGCATGGAAAACTTCATGATGCCGGTGTTCTGGGTGACAGCAACTCGGGGACGCTCTCCAAAATGGCACTGGTCGCTTGGCAAAAAGGCCTTAAACGGGGTTAAATAGAAGAGGGCAAGCACAGAGAAAAGGGTTACTTGACCACTTAAATCCCATGTCACACTCTGTTGTTCCTCCATGTATGAAATTGCCTCGCAAACACTCCTTTGTTCGGATTCCTGGGGCAAAAGCACGCAGCACTACTCCTCCAGGCCCTACCATGCTCAACGTCTTCCGCGTGAGGGCGAGTCATTCCGCTCTGACTTACGAAAGATCTGCCTGGATCGTCGCCCTGGCATGGGGACAAGACCAAAGGCCCAGCCAGACCCCGCCCAGCAGATGAGCACAACTGGATGTCCCTTGCACCGGCACTTGGGAAGAAGGACCGTGTCCTGTGGAGCGCGTTGGGCTGCCAGGTACCCGGCCGAATGGGAAGACATGCCAGCCAGTTACCATGGAGGCGGTATGTGCTAACGGAGAATTTGGGCAGATAGCGCAAGAGATGCTTGTTGAAACGGTTTTCTGATCGTATCTGCGCCAACATCAAGACTTTCGAGAATGCTTCGGCGGGCCCTTTGTCTATCGTGCATGACCAACATCTCACGGGACATGACCAACTCCAGAGGGACGCGCTGCAACGCGTCTCGTATGCTCTGATACAGTTCGCCAAGTCCTGTGCTTTCATCCCACGCATCCCACTAGCTCCATAACTTCGATAAGTTTATTGTTTGACAGCGGAAGTTTGATGGCGGAAGTCTTTAGTCCGCACCTCAAGATTTGAGCACTCAAATCCCGTGTCATCCGTTCTTCGCTTGCAGACCGCGTATCTTGGACTGCCCCTTATGCCGTATTTCCTGGATCCCGACCGTTGAGTGGACAGTTTGCTGGGCATAACCTAAAATGGATAGCACGACTCACGAGGTTGCACTGGACAATGGACGACAGCGGATCAAAAATTGTAGTGTAAACTTTTTAATTTGCTGTGGGCTACCACGCCAGCCAAAAGAGTGAGATCTTCGGCGGCCTCCACCGGGATCATCCCGGCTTCAGCGAACTGGTGGCTCTGGTTCTGGTCCTGGTTCGGGCCGTAGTTGGTGGCATCGGACCACGGCCCTCACTGTGGCCAGTTGCTGAACAGACGTTTGGATGATGAAGCCAATTCCAAGACAATCGTTTCTCAATTTGCAATGGTTGCGCAGCGGGTGTTTCTCCCGGTCGAGCCGTTGCGATGTGGCTTGGAATGCCTTGTGTTCTGTCCTAGCGTTGCATTTCTTCGTTTCGGTAAACCATCCCTGCTGATGGAGACCCTTGAGCCCTACGTTGTCGGCGCGTATGGCGGTGTCAGAATAGGCAATTAAGGTAGCCGATCGGGAGTGTTTGAAAGCATCGCTTAGAAGTTGTCTCCTCATTCTTCAACGGCGTTTCCCGTACGCGAGGAGCACGCACTCGGGCCCCTAGTAGAGATGACGAAGAAGACCACGATGGACGATGGGGCTTGGAATCGACGGGTGGCTTGGAAAAAAGACACGACGAAGTCAATGACCCAAAGGACAACGACAAACGTAATTCGACGAACAGCAACACCGAATCAGCCATGTCGGGTCGATCAGTGATAACGGACCCCGAGAACGCTTGCATACAGCCTCTTTCGGTCTTTGCTCATTCGTTGAATTTGGCTTTACGTCTTGAACTCGCAGTTGTTCGCATACGCCCCGCCTTAGTGTGGGATGCCATGCCGTGTTGGCTGACTGACAAGAAGACAGGGGCCACAAGAAGAACGAAGCACCCCGGACTGCCCCCTGGTTTTCTTTCCGATTTGGGCAGAACTCTTCTTTTACGGGGGTTTCAAGGGGTTGCGTGAGTGCTGATGGGGCTGGACTGGGGGCCAAGGAGCGTTGTAACGACAATGGCACCCGCCAATGAAAATTGCGCGAGGGGATGATTGTCATATTCTAGAAATGAAACTCCTGCTGGATGGGTTGTCAATTAATTTGCTACTTTTCGTAAGTCACTTATCACATCAGCAATGCCGATCAGCGGGGAAGTCGTCGAGAATGCAGCCCGGAACTTGGGAAACCACCAACCATACTTAAGATCCAATCCCGATGATACTGCAGCCTTGGCTCTTGAGACTTACTCGTTCTCACCAACTTACAGCCTTTGGGCGTCTGTCACTCTTTTTATCCAACATATTCCACCGGCTATTGCACCGGCTAGTCATTCATTTATAATAATTTGCGTTCGTTTTGAAACCTGCTCCCTGTCGCCATGAAGTTCCTCGCGCCCGCTGTGGCGCTCATTGCGGCAGTCAATGCTGCGTAAGTCTTGACTTTTCCTATCGTCGTCAGGATAATGCTCTTCCACGATGTTGGTGGGTGTCTTTGTCATCACCAACGTGGCTGCTTTGTCCACGGATCTTCAAAGTTGTCGGCACTACTGCGGATGCTCCAGTCGGCGCCTCCATCGAACTACCCTGTTATCTTTGGTCTCCGCTATCGGTGTCGCCCTCATCTTGTTTCCTCATGTTTCCTCTTTTCCTCTATCTTCGCTCTGCTGTCACCGACTGCTTTATTCTGGTTGTGGGGTGAATCCTCATCGGCATAGCATTGATTGTGCCCAACACCTTTCGTCATCATAGTTATGTTGCGCATCACTTGACTTACATGATATCGCAGTTTTGATGAGCCCCTCGGCCCTACCATCACTGCCAAGGGCCCGGTAGCCAACTCCACCTACGACTATGTCGTCGTCGGCTCTGGTCCTGGAGGTGCTCCTCTTGCTGCTCGCTTGGCCTTGGCCGGCTTCAGCGTTCTGCTGATGGATGCTGGAGAGGATAGAGGAGAGGATGCCGCCGTTCAAGTGCCCGCTTTGCACGTTTTGGCATCTCAGCATGAGCCCATCCAGTGGGATTTCTTCGTCAACCACTACGAAGATCCTGTCCAGGCTCAAAAGGACACCAAGTTCTCCTGGAGAAAGACCGATGGCGAGATCTACGTCGGCACTCACCCGCCTGCTGGCTCCGAGCCTCTCGGTATCCTGTACCCTCGTGTCGGCTCCCTTGGTGGCTGCGCCCAGGTTCGTGAAATCATTGACATCTGTCTTTCGTACGATCTCACTGATTGCTAACGAAACTCTAGCACAATGCCCTTGTGACCATTCTGCCGCAGGACAGTGACTGGAACAACATTGCCACCATCACTGGGGACGACACCTGGGAGGTCAGTAACTCTCCAAACATGGCAGGAAATTCTAGTGCTAACTTAGAAGCAGGCGGACAAGATGCGCGAGTACTACAAGAAGCTCGAGAAGTGCCACTACCTGCCTGGTGGTAAGTCTAAAGCCCTCAGTTGACAAATCCATGAGACTGACATGTTCCCGCTGTAGGCCTCGACTCCTCTGTTCACGGTTACGATGGATGGCTCGAGACCCAGACAACCCCTGCAATTCTCATTGTCGAGGACCCCAAGGTTCTGTCTCTTGTCCTTGCCGCTGCCACCACCATGGGCAAGAACATCTTGGGCAAGATCATTACTACTGTTACCGGTCTTCTTGAGATTCTGGTCGTCGATGTCAACAACGATGCCCCCAGCCGTGACAAGAACGACGATATCTACCAGATTCCCCTCGCCATGAAGGACCCTTCCTTCACCCGCTCGTCCCCTCGCGACTTCATCTACGACGTTTACACCGCGAAGAACGCAGACGGCTCCAAGAAGTACAAGCTGGACCTGGCCCTGAACACCCTGGTCACCAAGATCAACTTCGATGAGTCTGGCGACAAGCCCAAGGCCACCGGCGTCGAGTACCTCTACGGAAAGAGCCTGTACCGCGCTGATCCCCGCGCTACCAAGGAGGACGGCGGTGTCCCTGGCCGCGTCTTCGCCAGCAAGGAGGTCATTGTTTCTGCCGGTGTCTTCAACACCCCCCAGCTCCTCAAGCTCAGCGGTATCGGCCCTGCTTCCGAGCTCAAGTCTTTTGACATCCCTGTCGTCAAGGATCTCCCTGGTGTCGGCGGCAACATGCAGGACCGTTACGAGGTCGGCATCGTTGGCAAGGCTCCCACCGACTTTGCCCTCCTCAAGGACTGCACTTTCCTGGACATGAACGGCACCCATAACGGCGAGGACCCCTGCTTCACCAACTGGCAGAACGGCGTTGGCGGTCTCAAGGGCGGCTACACCACCAACGGCATTGCTTTCGGCTACTTCAAGCACTCTTCTGTTGCCGATGCTGACCCTGACCTGTTCCTCGGCGGTGTCCCTGCTTACTTCAACGGCTACTTCCCCAACTACGCCGAGCACGCTCTCGCCGATCTCAGCGTCTGGACCTGGCTCACTCTCAAGGCCCACAGCCGCAACAACGCCGGCACCGTCAACCTGACCAGTATCAACCCCCGTGACACTCCCAACATCACCTTCCGCAGCTTCTTCGAGGGCGTTGGCGGTGAGGAGGATCTCCAGGCTGTCTACGAGGGCATGAAGTACGGCATTGAGGCTTTCGAGAACCTCATCCCTCTCGACGGCTCTTTCGAGCGCATCTGGCCTCCCAAGAACGTCTCTTCCGAGGCTGACCTCAAGAAGTTCGCCCAGGATGAGGCTTGGGGCCATCACGCCTCCTGCACTGCCCCCATTGGCTCTGACGATGACCCGCATGCTGTTCTTGACTCCAACTTCAAGGTCCGCGGCGTTGATGGCCTGAGAGTTGTGGACGCCTCCATCTTCCCCAAGATCCCTGGCCACTACATTGTTCTCAGCATCTACATGGCCAGTGAGAAGGCCGCCGATGTGATCATCGCCGAGGCCAACTCTGCGTAATTTGTGTTTTAACATGGGATTGCCATCAAGGGCTAGTCTCAATCCAGGTCCCGTTGCCAGATTTGACCTAGTTGTCTTAACATCAAGTAAACATATTTTTTTAATTCAACCCAATGATTTCGTGGTCTCTGAGATATGTCCGAAATGAACCTTTGATCAAATTGGCAATCTCTTTAGGCAGACCTTCATAATCATTGAAAATAAGCATACGCTACGGCAAAGTTCATGATGAGAATTGAAATTGAAAAATCAAGCACACGGCCAATTACGATAACATGGAAATCGGTGTTGCGTCAGCGTCAAAAATGGGATTCACGATACCCACTCAGATTGTGATCCATCTGACTCAGATTGCCATGATCACATTTTCGTGATCGCGAGCCGTAAATCGAAATCCAGATCACTTCCTTTATGGGATATTCTGGCGACATCACGATTCTCTACTGCGAAGTAAACACGAGCGGGTCCACTACGTTTAGGGAGCGGTCAATAGAGTCTAACCTAACTCGGCCAAGAAAACCGTTGAATGAAGATCTGCCAACGACCCTTGCAAGCGCGATGCAGGAACAAAGTCATTTGGACAAGTCCGGGGTGCCTCCGAAAGTCCGGGGGTCTCGCTGGGGGAGCATCGGAATACTACATCAAGACCAAGGAACTCGCCTCATTCTGGAGCATGTCGTCTGACTTTCGAACTTTAACGTGTCGGCAGACAGCCAAGTCAGAGAAGAGTCAGAATGATCTACGGCAACCTGGAGACCGGGGCAGTTCCGAGTCTGGACCTCCTCACCGTCCTCTTCGGTAAGTTCACCCACAACCTCAGGCGCAGGACATCGTGAGTGCTCACCTTCAATGTCACGACAGACTCCGAACACTGCCTTGCAAAAGAAGATACGCCACTCCACGCCGAGGCTGAAGAGCCAGTCAAGTCTATCAACAAATCCGAAGCAAGGCTTCTTACCAAGCAAATCGCACATTTCCTTCGCGTCGAGTATGGCATAGGCAAGTATGGCCCGGGAAAAGATATCGTTGCATCCATTTGCAGCGGTCATTCACGTTTAGCGTGCTTTTTCTTCGGCGTTGTCGCTGCTGGCGGTGTCTACTCAGCCGTGAGCTCAGCAATTACTTCAAATATCGACAGCTTCAAGAACGTTCTTGCCGACCCAGATACCAAGGTTCTGCTATGCAGTGCCGACACGAAGGAGTTAGCCCTGAAGAGTGGCATGAAACCTTCCAACATCCTCATCTTGGAATCCTACCCCGAAATCCAGTTGAAGAGTGCTGATGGCAATATCCAATGCAACTTTGCAGCCACAGGACCAAAGAATCTGTTGGACTGGAAGACGGTGACAGATCCAGAAGAACTACGGAAGACCCCTGTTTGCCTGATTTACTCGTCAGGCACCACTGGTGTCCCGAAGGGCGTCCTTATATCGCACGAGAACATGGTTGCAGAAGCAGTCCTTCCTTCGACCATCAACCGGCGTATCTGGAATGGATGGGCTGAGTCCGGCAAACTCATTGGCGAGCAACCTCTATCCGACGGGTACAGAACCCTCGCACACCTCCCACCTGCACACATTTCCGGCATCCAAGGCTACTTCGTCAACCCCTTTCTCGACGGCGGCATAGTCTACTGGGTCCCGAACGGCCCATTCGACATGATGAAGTTCTTGGGTTACAACAAAAACCTCAAGATCACCACCTTCTTCACAGCCCCACCCATCTACGATGGCATCGCCAAGCTTCATCAATATCGGCCAGCCCTGGTTGACGGGGCGTTCCGATCTCTTCGCGTGGCATACAGCGGTGGCGCGGCCCTGATACCTCAATCTCTCCTCGCGGCCCGAGCCGACCAGGTCCTGGGAGACGCAGAGCAGGGCAAGCCGGTCTTGATCAGCCAAACCTGGGGCGCGACGGAGACGACAGGCGCGGTGACGCACATGCCGCCTGATAGGGCTGGCTGGGACACGCTGGGGAGCGTGGGCGCGCTCCTCCCGGGTGTGACGATGAGGATTGTCGATGAAGACGGCAGGGACACGCAGCCAGTGGGAGAGACTCTCCTGAAGGGCCCCACGATGATGCTCGGATACTACAAGAACCCGATGGCCGACAAGGCGGCGTTCACAGAGGACGGGTGGCTCCGGACGGGTGACTCCGTGAGGGTTCAAGATGGGCTCCTTTATTATGTGGACCGCATGCAGGTGAGTTTGTAATATTCTCCGGCGTGTCTTTGATCACTTGCATCCCGATCCTTCCACCTGAAACGACATGGGAATCGGATGCATCCGAAGACATCCACTTAGTCTCTGAAGATGTCAGGATGTTTGCTTACCGTACTCCTTGTCTAGGATGCCATCAACAATGGAGCCTCCCGCGTGTTTCCCTCAGAATTGGAGACAGTTCTACGGGAGCACGCCGCCGTATCTGATGTTGCAGTGATCGGTGTGCCTCGTGGCGATCAGGGGAGCGTACCCAGAGCTTTCGTTGTCTTATCCCCACAGGCGACCAGCCAGGGAGCAACGACCGACATCATTGAGCAGCAACTGATCGAGTTTGTCCACCAGAAGACCGGCAAGGGTCTAGCTGGAGGTGTGCAGTTCGTCAAGGCCATCCCCCGAGCCCCTGTAGGAAAGATCTTGCGTAGGGAGTTGGAGAAAATGGCCAAGTAGATTCAGAAATGGAGTTTGTCAGTCGGAGGCCCTCTTTCAAACTGTTCCCCATCACGGGAGAAAGGCTGTCGTTGGTCACAACTGGACGTGTTCTGTATCCCTCTATTGAACCAACAACAAGCGTTTACATGTGTCTTGGCGGCGCGGACCCAGGTTGCTGCCTAGCGACGTGGACCCACGCTGTTGGTTGGCTCTTAAATATAAATCATAGACCATAATTCACGACATGAGTCAGCATCGTTACCTGTCTTCTCATACCAAACCTTCAGCCGCCTAGTCGAAACCCTGCACCAAATGTCCGAAGTGCGTCCACGAAGACCATCAACCGGTGGCAAGGCCCCAACCAAGGTTCGTGTTCATCTCGCAATCGAAGAGGCACCAAGCCATGACGGCACACCCTGCTTCAGCATATGGAGATATCACGATTCGCTCCACCCCCCTGAGGAATGGCCTCCCGTAACGCCTCCCGCCTCCCAACGTCCCAAGCGCGCCCTCCAGATCTACGACACGACGCCAGGTTCCGATGACCCGGTCCACCTCAAAGCCTTGGCCGAGACATTGTACGGCAAGCTGGACATGTGCAACTTGGACGAGGATACCCGTATCGATGTTTGGGGCATGCCACTTCCTCTTGAGGCACCCGATGAGGAGCGAGTAGCCAAGTGCCATGCTCACTCTAAGGTCGAGATTGTCTGGCGGAAGATTGATAGTGACGGGGAGTTTCGGATGCCGCCACGCAAGTTTGTTCCCCAGTGGCACCGGGTCATGCTCATTATAGACCGGCCCATGACCCAATGGGACGAAGACGAAGGCGGAAGCTTGAGCGTTGGATGGGATCCTCGCATAGAATATCTTCAAGAGCAGGCAGGCTGGGGAAATTACGATGTGGTACCGGAGAGGAGACCGATTAGCTACGATCGTCGCCAGGTGACAGAAGAGTTGGAGTGTCTAGTATATAGCCTGTCTGGGTAATCCAATACTTCGCTCGAGAAAAACAGCTGTGACCTCATGGTGCTTGACAGCTCTGCAAAAGCCCTCCTACCGGTTTAGATTGTGTCTCCTTCCTTGTCATTTAGTCTCGAAACATACTTAATCCTCTCTAAAACCGGCCTGTTGTCTAGGAAAACCTGAAACCGAGCCAACTTCCCAACCTCCTCGCCTTCCGTAACGAGATGAGCGAGCGCAGATGCCGGAATCGTGATTGTTTGGTTTTCCGGGTCACCCTTGGCTCTGTACGATATTTTGACAGTGAACCAGACCTTATTATCTACCTTATCTGAATTAAGGCGTGAGATCCAGCTCTTGAGGAGGCATGAGGGGAGCAGAGACAACCTACCAAAGGTGACAGGCACATGCTTCATGTACGAGAGAGCACTGAAGGCGGGCACAAAGCTTTGCTGGATCTCTTCGATTCCGTGGAGAATAGGGTTGTTGGCGAACTGCAGCTGTGCGCCCTTCGCGAAGATCTTGGGGTGTTCCGTGATGTCCAGAGAGTCAAACGCCACGAAGTTCTGCGTAACATCAATTAGCTTTCCGGTCACTTTTGATTACCACAAGGTCCATGCGGTTTGACAGACATTCAAGAGCCACGCCTCAACTTCATGTCGCGTGTTTGGCAGCGTCGATGGAACAGCACTCATGTTGATGAAGCAAGCTCGGGTGATGAAGCAAGCTCGGGTGATGAAGCAAAATTAAACACGAGATCTGGTAAGAAAGTGAATGAGCTTGTTTTTTCTAATGTGTAGGTACTCCTTTTATACTGTAGCAGGCGCACCTGTCTCTATGCGTGGTTGACACCATCTTCCCGCAGCAGTCAGCTTACAAATAACTCTGATTGGAATCCTTCCAGAGTGGGCTGCGCGATCCTTTCAGCCCTGTCCCCTCCTAGCTTAGAAATCCGAACCCCCCAATAGTTCCCTCCCAACATCCACCTGCCGACATTATTTCAATGGCGTCAACAGAACGCCCGATGATTAGTGTGCTGACGCGGATTTAGCCGGCCCGTCAACTAGGACCTCCCCGGGTAACGGGATCTTGGCCAGTCCTCTGGCCCAATCCAACGCCAGAATAGGCGCCGTTTCCGCGTCCCTCGACCATCGCAGCGTCTTGACGAGGTTTCCCAGACGGCGCACTGCGTGGCGGTTGCAGGTGATGGTGGTGTAGCCTGTCTTCCAGCCGAACAAGAAGGACGAACAGTTCGTCTCGTTCAAGGTCGGCTCTACTGCGAGTGCCACCTTCGGCAACGTGCCTTTGGCGATTTCGTCCTGGACATGTGGTCTGCGGAAGTCCTCGACAATGCGGATTGGTAGTTGGAGATCTGCTGGTACGGGATGGCACGAGTATTTCTCCAGTTGGGCGATGAGCTTCTTTCGACGCTCTTCTGTTGCCGGGGTATCCTTTTCCGACAATGGCCAGCCGTCTTGCTTGAGGACGCGTGCGAGGAATGACATTTTGTCATCCTGCTTCCCTCGTAGGGTTTCCTGGCCCAGAAGGATTTCTAACCTTGCAACTTCGTCTTCGGTGGAAGCGTCATAGACCATGCGCAGACATGTCTCTGCAGCCTCGCGGGTGCAGACAAGGGTGTGACCTCGCAAGATGGGGTAGAGGGAGTTTCCAAGTCTTGGTCCATGCTCGGCCTCGTCGGTGACATCTTCGAGGATCTTGGGACGCCATTTCCTCTGGGAGCCGTGATTATGGCAAATGTCGGTGGTTAAAGCAACGAAAATGGAGGTGTCTATGTTGAGAGTTGGTGTCAATGGCGGCGGGTTGATCGAGCTCCCAAGATCCAGCAGGTTCGTTATAGCAGTTTCCAGGGGTGGAGGAGCGTGATGTGTTGTCTCGGCACACTCGATAACTAGAGAAATCTGGTCATCCCCTAAACTCTGCACCCCTCGGAGAAACCTGTCGATAGCCGGCTGGCGACCACTATAGATGTTTGGTAGAACCATCCGAATGCGATGACTGTAGCCTCCGTGAATCTCTCGGGCTGCAACTAAAAGTGACTTCACAGACTTGAGGATTTCGATCTGTGTTTCGTCGTCGTCGATGACTTCTTGCAACTCGGGATCGTCATCCTCGTCATCTGGTTCGTCCCAAGGGAAATCTGCCTCGGCCATCTGCACAAGCAGGCCCCTTTCCGTGGTGCTGAGAACCCTCAACCACTCATGGCCATTGTCTACTATGGCACTCACGAAGACTGAGCTTTGGCCAGAGGCGTCGGTCTTGCTGTATGGCACGGCATAGCGGAACCATGTCACCGAGCGACACTTCTTGATGGCCACCCAATGGTTCTCATAGGACGACAGCTCGCCTTCGAGGAGCCTGAAGTCGCGGTGAAGAGCCCCTTCGGCCTCGGGCTCTTTCGGCGGCTGTCTCGTGCGTTGCAGAAGCGCTTCTGCTCGGGTTTTCTGGTTTGAATTTGACTGCCAGAACGTGCTGAAGCCGGGGATGTATGCGTGCCAGTGGTTGTTAACCTTTTCGGCCTCTTTTTCGACGGCAGATCGGAGCAGGTCCAGCTCTGCGCAGAGCACTGTGCTGCGGTTGAGAATGTCTTCGGCTGCCATAACAAAGCTTTCGTCGATATCTGAGGTTGCTAGATGCGACGGCCTGCCATCTGAGACGCGACCGTCCTGGTGATCTGGCTGAAGCTGGATGCCATGCATTTTGACTGTTGTAATTAAACTCCAAAAATATGGAAGCGTGAGATGTTCGTATTCGTGCTTCCCGGAGGCCTTGTAACGCCTCAACCGACTCAGCAGTAGCTATTTGCTTGATAATTTCGCATGCAAGGCTCCTTGAGGTGGGTCGTCTAAGTTCAAGTCGTCTTTTCGGGGTGCAAAAGGTTGGAATCCACCGGAGAGGTTGGGGGCAGGTCGGGCGGGTTCGCGTCGTTGTCACGATGTGGATGAGTCATGATATGGTGAAAACTGCCAATTCTTTCTTTGGGTGTTGTAGAAGGCTTCAAAATTCGTCTACAGCTGGGTAAATATATAGTGAAGCAGGAGCGATCGTTGGGAAATCCAGATGATGTGAGTCTTCGGAATGTTCGATGCGGACGATGCATGTGTCAACGGAGCATGACGATGATGACCGTTGAAGCCTGGAGTGGGACACCCATGGAATAGTGGACCCCGAAGGCATATAGCGAGTGGTTTAATTGGATGGTGGAGGTGATCCGTACGGTTCGAGCACAGATCTTTGTTATTGGGCACCGTGAGGGCAGGATGACATAATCCGGGAAGCCTTACGTCAGCCATCCTCGACTTTCACGATTGCCTCACTTCAATCAGGCAGGGACCAACACCACATCTCGGCTGACTATGCGAATGGCATCGAAAATAACAGGATCATTATCGTCATCATTAAATCTGTCTAAAAAAATACAACACCTTGGTTCCCGGTGTACACCAATGGTATATGGCTCGCTTATGCTGCTTCCATGCAATTTCTATGCAACGCTTGCAATCGACCACGACTCAACAACATCGGCAAGCGTCTGGTCGCTCCCCACATTACCTGGGAACACGACGTAAGGCACTCCGCGATGCCTGCTCGTTTCCTCGTCGCACCTCCACAACGGCACGCCCGGGGCGGCTTGGCCCAGGATGCGCGCTCTCCTCATCTTCAATCCCTTTGTCGCAGCGTCGGATGATGTGATGCCACCCTTGGCAATCAGATAACGCGGCCTGACGTCAATCTTCTCGACCAGCTGTACGAGCGCACGAGCGACCTTGGATCCGATCTGGAGCGAGCTCAGGGCATCGTGACCCTTGATGAGCTCTCGGGACGTCATGACGAGCACATCCTCGCCCGCGCTCAGCTTCTTGGTGGTTTCCGTGGCTGCAGCCTCGACGACCTTCTCAGCTGCCTCGTCAGATGCGACCAGATCAGCTACGTCCAGCTCGATCACGGCTAGCTTGTCGCCCCGTCTCTCCCGGAGGACCTTCAGCTGGGCTGTCGTCTTCGGCACGTAGGACCCAGCGACGATCAGTCCACCCGGCTGCTTGGGCTCGGTGACCGACACGCCAAGGTCAGCCATGGTCAGCGGCGGAATACCTGTGATGCCGAGACGCGACGACACAAAGGCAGCGCCGGTACGGAACAGGTATCGCCTTCCGCTCTTGTTAGCCTCGAGCAGTCCTGCCACGAAGACGTGCATATCAGACTCCGCAGCGGCGTTGACGATGACGACCGTGTTGGATCCTGCAGCCGCTGAGAGCAGCTTCTTCGCGACGCCAGCAGGCCCACCGAGACGGATATCGTCGAGGGTCACCGACAGGAAAGAAGACTCGTCAAACCGATGACCACACTTCTCCAGGATGTACTTGCGGAGGTTCGAGTTCTTGTATCCAAAGGTGGCATCCTGCGCGAACGGTGTGTGGCTGGCAGGCACGAGAACATCGCCCTCCTTGACGTAGTGAACGTCGTTGATGGTCAATCGCCCACCCTGGAAGAAGAAGGGTGTCACGACCCACGCATCAAACTTGCCCAACGCCTCCTCAGCGGCCTCTGGCTCCTCCGGAAGATGGCCACGAAGAGTAGAGTCGCCTCTGAGCACAATCTCGAAAGCCTTGCCGGCCTTCTCGGCAGCCTTCTTCACGTTTTGGCAGATCTCAAGGATCAACTGGCGCGCCTCGGCGGAAGGAAGAGCGCGCGAGTTGGTCAGAATGAAGAAGCCCTTGGGGTTGAGGCTGAACTCGTAATCCAGGGTCGCAGCATCCCAAACAGTCAACACGTCAATGTCGTTGCAGGTCTGCGTGCCTGTTGGGTCGTCATCCAGTGCGATAAGTACGGGGACTTCGCCGTTGTTGACAACCTTCTGGGTCGAGCTGATGACGTCGTCTGAGTACTCGGCGGGCAAAGCGTCGAGTGTCTTTTGGGCTGGCAGAGCCTCGTCTTGGTCAACGACCGGCGAGGCAGCGGCATCGCTCTTGTTTTCCTGCTTGGGTCCAGCGTTACCAGACACAGAGATGCCGGTCAGCTCCCATAGCCTCACAACGCCAGCATCAGATTCCTTCGTCCAGCCATGAGCAGCGCCGGAGAGATACAGAGTGTGGGCGGCGGACGAGATCGGGGCGAAGTAGGTAAGGCGCTTCGCCTCGTCAAGCACAATACCGAGATCCTTGACGAAGATTGCCAAGGCAGAGTGCGGTGTCCAATCGGCATCGAGCATTTGAGGTACCCTGTTCTCAAACATCCAGCTCCAGCCAGCGGCGTTACCCAGGAGGTCGAAGACGCGTCTTGTGTCCAGGCCCAGGCGAGCAGCGAGGGCCATGGCCTCGGCAGCTGCTGCAATGTGAACACCGGCGAGCAATTGGTTGATAAGCTTGACCGAAGATGCAGCTCCAACACCACCCTGGACATGGCAAAGGTTGCTTGAAGTTCCAGTCATGGCCATCAGGGGAGCGTTAACCTTTGAAATGATGGCATCGTCTCCAGAGCAGATAATAGTCAGGGTACCGTTCGCGGCACGAACGACGCCTCCACTGACAGGCGCATCGATCAAGCTGATGCCCTTGCCGAGGTTGGTGAGCTTGCTCTCAAGCTCCCGCACGAATGATGGCGGTACCGTGGAGCTAAGGATAACAATGGCACCATCCGGGAGTACTTCAGCAGCCTTGCCAGATCCAAACAAGGCATCGCCAGCCTGGGCGGCATTCTGGACCATCAGAACCAAGAGGTCGGCGCCCTTTGCGGCATCGGAGGGGCTGCTGGCCTTGGTCGCTTTGCCGCCCGTGGCCACAAACTTGTCAATGGCTGGCTCATAGACGTCGTAGCCGTGGACCGGGAAGCCAGCTCGCAGAAGGGTCCCCGCCATACCCTGACCCATTGCTCCCAGGCCAATCATGCCGATCTTGGAGATCTCCAATGGCGTGCTGCTGGGGGTAAGCTTTTCTTGCGAGGTGCTGACCTGGCCAGCCTGCTCCTTCACGAGTTCCGGGTTTCTGGGGAGGAAGACGCGCACAAGACCCGCATCGTCATCCAAGCCGAGTCCTTGGGCGGCGCCCTGGATGTACAGCTGCTCTGCCGTTGATGCGAGTGGCACTGGGAACTGCAGCGTCCTGGCTGTAGAGACAACGATGCCCTATTTGATTCGTTTAGTTAACCATGCAGAAGCAGGGGGCCAGGGATGATGCTCACCATGTCCTTGACGAAGATGTTAAGAGCGGACAGAGGAGTCCAGTCTCCGTCAAGCATGTGCGGTACGCGGTTCTCGAAAGCCCATGAGTTTCCAGCCGCATTCGTGATGATATTATACACCTCACGGGTGTTGAGGCCAGCCTTTGCAGCGAGACCCATGGCCTCGGAGGCAGCGGCAATATGTGTACCAACTAGGAGTTGGTTGACCATCTTCACCTTACTACCGGCACCTGGCCCGCCGGGAATGATGTACAGCTTCTCCGACATGTCGCGAAGAATCTTGTCTGCGCGCTGCAAGGCTACTGAGGTGCCCGCAGCGAAGATTGTGAGAGTGCCCTCAGCAGCACGCTTGGTTCCTCCCGATACAGGGCCGTCGACGACGAGCACGTCGCTTCGGCCCTTTTTGGCAATGCGATCTGGCAGCGCCTCATGGTACGTCGGAGGCACCGTCGAGCAGAGCAACACGGTCGCATGCTCCGGTAATGCTACAAAAAACAAGTCAATCAAACGCTGCACGGGCTGTGACCAAGGCATTCACTCACTCTCGAGAGCACCCGTCTGATGATTAAAAAGTATGTCATCGATTTGCTGCGCATTCGCAGCCATGCAGACAAGGATGTCGCTGGTCTTAGCGACCTCCCTTGGAGACGACCCAACTGAACCGCCCTGCGCGACGAACTTCTCTGCGCTGGGAGGATACACATCGAAGCCCTGGACTTGGTATTGCGGCTTCTTCACCAGATTGCACGCCATGCCGAAGCCCATGGCCCCAAGGCCGATGAAGCCGACGCGGGTGACGTCGGCGCCGTTGGAAGCCATCTCGAATGAATATTATGTAAACTTGGCTCCTTCGATCCGCGGGCAGAGGGTCATCCGAAAGTCACAGCAACTTTCCCGAGACCGGCAGGAATATTGGAGTCGCAGCGATCTTATACCCTGACTGCATTCCCCAGGATTCGGTCAAGAGTCCGGAAATCAGCGGCCGGGAATGTCGCGCAGCCAGCATACCGCAGCGACAAGGGAACACCACATCCGAGGCCGTCCACATAACTCTCCACACGTCTCGTTGCCGCAGCCGCAACCCCTCTTGTTAGAGGCGAGGCACACGACAGACAGATGGGACGAATAATGGAGCCGGCACTGGGCCACTTGACCAAGTGCAAGCACGAAAGGTCACTAACGGCGCCAACACTTCTCTAGGAAACCAAGAGTGGACGGATTGAGTTTGAGCAGGTGGAGGCTTGGCCACCCCCGCACGGCACGAAGTCCGCCCCGCTTATAAACAAAGGAGATGCACGCTGCCCGGCGAATCTTTTCCCTCTTTTCTCCCCTCGGTCATCTTTCCGCCTGTGCGACTTTGTCCACTCCGTCCACCTTCCTTTCCAAGACCCAGAAATCTGCCCGGACTTCCTCCCTTCGGACCATGAAACGTGCGAGAATCGACGGTCCGGACAAGACCCCGTCCTCGGGGGGCCAAGCCGGCCAGCAAGTCCACATGCCAAAGATCTCCAGGAAGATACGCGCCTGTAAGCTCCGATGCCTCCGATTCACTTCCTCCGAGCTGTGTCTCCCCTGTCTGGCCCTGTCGCCGCGGAAGAAATTAGCTTGCTGATAAGAGAAACACAGGCCAGGAATGCCAAAATCGTAAGATCAAGTGCGGCATTGAGCCCGGCCAGCAGACGTGCGCCCGCTGTTCGCGTCTCGGCCTGCAATGTGTCGTCAACAAGAGTCTCCAGACCCTCCTGGACGGCGAGAATGAGTGGAAGACCAAGATGGAGATGCAGCTGCAAGCTCTCCAAGCCTCCATGATTGAGGTTCAGCGCCACCTCAACATGCCGCCGCTCATGCCCCTCCAGGGCTTTCACGAGGGCGGGGGCATGTCTCAGAGTCCTGTGAACGTCGCTGGGTCACAGAGCAGCCCAGGCACAGGCCCATCGCCAATTCGCCCTCCAGACGTCACGGCGATGACGAGGGAAAACTCACCAGAGATTCCCACCGCACAAGACAATGGTGAAGACCAAGCTATCGTGAGTGCGCCAATGGCTAGCCTCTTCGAAGTGACCAAGCTACGGAACATCCGGAGCGACCCCGGGGCCCGGGCCCACCTTCCGGTGGATCGGACCTCGAAACCCGATTTCTTCGACCAAGGCAAATTTAGCCTCCAAGAGGCGGAGCAGCTTTTCTCCACGTTTCGTGGGACCCTTAACGCCTACTTGTGGGGAGGCATCGCACTCAGACACGAGACCCTCGCGGCTACGCGCTACGCCTCTCCCCTTCTCACTGCGGCTATACTCGCAGTAACCGCCTTACACGCCCAGGACGAAGGCCGTGCCTTTGACACGTGCTATCCCATCTTCCTCGAGCTAGCGAGCCAAGCAGTCTTTGACCGATATCACACGTTGGACGATGTCCGAGGTCTCTGTGTGGGGGCGTTCTTCCTTTCGGACTTGAGCTGGAAGCTGAGTGGCCTGGCCGTTCGGATAGCCACCGAGCTGAACCTCCATCAATTCTGCGCCAAAGCGCTCAACAAGGGGTCATCAGAGTATGTCGAGCATGCAAGGCTATGGTACTTCTTGTATGTATGCGACCACCACTTCAGCATCGCCTATGGAAGGCCGCCAGTCATCAACGAGGACGCCAGCATCGTCAACCATGAGGACTTTTTGAAGCTGCCGGGCATCACGCAGGCAGATCATCGTCTACACAGTCAGGTTGGTGTCTTTATCATTTTGAGTCGCGTTTTCCATACGTTTGGCCCGGACAGGTCAAGACAAGTTGGCAGAGACGAGTTCGTCCAGCTGAAAAAGTTTGATGATGAACTTTGCTTCTGGAAGGCTAAGTGGGAAACTCGCCTAGGTATGTCCCCCCTGGCTTCTTTTGGAAAAGCAATTTACTGACCATCCCCAAGAAGCGGATAAGTTCATCTCCAAGTATCCCGCCAAGGGCGTCATACTTCACTATCATTTCGCTCGTCTCCTATTGTACTCCGTCTGCTTACGCGGCCTGAACGCGTCGAACCCATCAGACCAGTATGCCGTCTGCGACGAGCGCCGCAGCTTCATTAACACCGCCATCACGAGTGCGTCGGCCGCCCTGGAGCTGATCTTGACAGACACGGACATGCGCCGAGCAGTCATCGGCGTACCCCTGTACCTGCTGACCACCATCGCGTACGCCGCTATGTTCCTCATGAAGGTGTACATGCAATGGAAACCAGCCAAGGTGGACATTCGTTACGACAGCGTCGTCGACCTTATTGAACGGATCGTCGTCTTGTTGAAGGAGCAAAGCCGTTGTACCCGCCATGTGGCCCACTACATTGGTCACGGCCTCAACAATATGCTGCAGAAATTCAAGGAGCGAGGTCCGCAGGAGCAATATTACATCGCGAGCGGGCAACAGCCGGGTGCTGTCGGAACCGCCATGCCAGGCCAGCCTGTGCCTCAATGGCCAGAGCAGATGGAGCCGACTGACTGGGAAGGAATTTTCAACGGGGGTATAATGAGTTTCGGCATGCCGGAGCAGTATCAACAGTACGGGCTACTGAGCGACCTGAATTCGGGATTCTAAATGCCGTCATCAATAATAATGAAATCACGATATCCATGAAAAACACCCACTTACACCTCGCTTTTTGGCGTTTCGCATGCAAACATGCCTTCTCGTGATGCCTTGTCCCACGCGATTGACCGCGAGCGGGCAGAAGTCCGCGCGCCGAATGCCTCGGACTAAACACCGCACCACACCCAAACACGGCATTTGGACTGCCGGAACAAAGGCCGCGCTGTCTTGGCCCCCTCACTTGGTGGATCTAGAACACGCGCTGGTGTCACCAACAGCCCAATCACGCCTCCCCGGCCCCAGCATCCACGATCAGGCAGACTAATCCTGCCAAACGCCAGACTATTCGCTCACACCAGGTCCGGAATGGGTTCGCTTCACGTTCGCTTCTGGTTCTAACGCGGGTCCACGAGCGCCTCCCAGGCTCCTCCCCCAACAGTCTACCCCGTGGGGGAATAGGGACGTGTGCCCGGAATACCCCGGGTCCCGCCAGTCGCCAGCACAAGACACACGCCAGACACGACTCGTGTTTTTGACGTTATATATCAGACGTCTCGTTAAGAAGATCTTTTGCCACAGTTCAGCTGAATGGGCCAGGCAAAAGTTTCATCGGTCTTTTTTCGAACCTGCTTTCCCATCCTACCGGATTTTTGGTCGACCAACAACAAACTGCGAGGTCGCATTCTACCAGCGCATTGAACAGACTGCGACCCCTGTTTTGCGCTCCACTTTCCCTCCTTTCCCCAAGGCGGTCTGCCTTTTCGAAGAGGGAGAAACCTTCACCTGTCGCGTCTTCTTTTTTCTTCTCGCGGCTCAATTGATACGATAACAACGACGACGAAAAGCAGCCGCGTTGGACGGAGAGAAGCAGCGACAATGAGCGAGGAGCACGATCGGAAGCAATCCGTCGAGATGAAGGAAGACAAGAACGCCGTCACCGTCGACGCGGACGGCGAGCTTGCGGAGGCGCTGAGGAACTACGTCCCCGGCACGCAGGAGGAGAAGGCTCTGGTCCGCAAGATTGACTTCTACCTGATGCCCATTCTCTGGATTGTAAGAACTTTTTTCTCTTGGAAGAGATTAGTCTTGAGCCGAGCATTCGCTGACCTGTGATGTTAGATGTACATCTTGAATTACGTCGACCGCACAAACATCGTAAGTTACTGTGGCTCTCCCTTGGGTGAAAAGTCACCGGCTGGCATCGAGTGTCGCATGGACCACCGCACCGATGTGGCGAGTCAGCCACTCATGGCGTCTTCCATGCCGAATGTCAACTTCAGTAGATCTACTTCATCAATGTAGCAGACAACTTGAGCCTCTGGGGGATTCTTTCAAATCATGAAGAACACAATGCTGACCCCTATTCATAGGGAAATGCCAAAATCGCAGGCATGCAGAAGGATCTTAGCCTGACCGACGACGGCTACGCCTGGGTCCTATCGATCTTCTTCTTTGGCTACCTCATATGCGAGGTGCCTTCAAACATGATCCTCTCCCGCAGTCGGCCATCTCTCTTCCTGCCGGGAATCATGCTGGTCTGGGGCGCACTCTCAGCTCTCATGTCGGTCTCGAAAAGCTACGGTGCTCTCCTCGGCTTCCGTTTCGTCTTGGGCTGCATTGAATCTGGCTTCTTCCCGGGTGTCCTGTACCTGCTTAGCTGCTGGTACACGAAGGCTGAGCTAGGCAAGCGATTTGCCATCTTCTACACAGCCGCCGTTCTCTCTGGAGGTTAGCCCCCCTAACCACACTCACGAGAGAATCTTCTCGCTAACTCTTCTCAGCTTTCGGCGGTCTCCTCGCCGGCGCAATCACCGCAAACCTCCACGACGCGCACGGCATCGCAGGTTGGCGCTGGCTCTTCATCGTGGAGGGCGTAGCCACCGTCGGCGTCGCCCTCTTCGCCTTCTTCATCCTCCTCGACTACCCCGCCACCGCGAAGCAGCTCACCCCCGCCCAGCGCCAGCTCGCCTCGATCCGCATCATCGCCGACGGCATCGCCTCCGGCGCGCAGAGCACCCAGCGCCTCACGCACTGGCAGGCCTTCGTCGCCGCCGTCTCGGACCCGCGCACCTGGATGTTCCTCATCCTCTTCATGCTCGACGTCGGCGCCGGCACCATCTCCTACTTCATCCCCACCATCGCCCTCACCCTCGGCTACGACACCGTCACCGCGCAGTACATGACCGTGCCCATCTACGCCTTCGCCTCCGTCTGCCTCAACATCGTCGCCTGGTCGTCCGACCGCCACGTCGAGCGCCGCTGGCACGTCGCCGTCCCGCTCGGCGTCGGCTTCGCGTGCGCCGTCGTCTGCGCCGCCGTGCAGACCCCCGTCGTTCGCTACGTCATGATCTGCTTCGTCGCCGCCGGCATCTGGTCCGCCCTGCCCCTCGTGCTGTCCTGGACCAGCGGCACCATCAGCCTGCCCGCCGAGAAGCGCGCCATCGTGCTCGCGCTCGTCAACGCGTTTGGCAACTTCTCGAGCGTGTACGGCAGCCGCATCTGGCCGAGCAAGGACTCGCCGGCGTACCACGTCGGTTTCGGCGTCACGGCTGCGTTCCTTGGTGCGGGCATGATTATTGCCATTTTGATCCCGATTATGATCAAGATGGTCAACTGGAAGGGCACCAAGGCGGAGAGGGAGCTTGCTGTTGCGACGGAGGTGGAGCGGGATTAAAGAGGAAGGAGGGAAGATACCTGGTGTGTTATTTGTTTGGTTTTACGACTAGGATACCTTTTGAGGCTGTGAGCCTATGACGTTTAATGAGTAGCTTTGTGCGCTTTGCCCAGTCACCTGTCTAATGAATGATGTGAGGTGGTGCAACTTGCCTTGATGAAACTGTTTGTTTGTTTGCCACAAAAACTCACAGACGATTCAATTGCCAGCTATCACGGCCACGGGAATTCGCTGTTTCACTGCTGACTGACACAAGATCAAGAAAAATACAGAGTGTAGGAACACAGTGCTTTATTGATGGGAATAGACAAGATTATTATTAAGGTAGCCAACATGGGTTCACCGCCGACTAGTATCGGTGGTGGACTTCCTCTCAAAACCACATGGTAAGAAACCAGTCAAACACGCAAGATTATTTTCTGGGCCGTCCCGTTTGCTTCGGTCCCTCTCCACACACTCCCGACCCGCCGCCAGCGGTATAGACTCACTCCAACACCGTTCAGTAGACGCAGTTGCACTCACATCCTGCCGGAGCTACATTCTAAACAATCGTCAGTACTGGCTTTGAGCTTGATTGCGAAAACCCGGGATGTCAGGGAGGGTAAGGGTGTTACGTACGCCGGGGGAGCGACCGGGGCGGCGGTCTCAGCGGAGCGAGCCGCTTTGGTGATATATACGGTCTCTTTCACGACGATGGCGGGGGCGGCGGGAGTCTCAGCGGCCTGAGCCAACCGGGTGACATATACAGTCTCTTTCTCGACGGCGGGGAGCCGAGGTCGATCAGGCTCCCCGAGTCCGCTCTCGATCGCGGGCGGAGCAGGGCTGTATTGGTCCGGGCTATATTGTTGACGGTATGGCCCTCTCGGTTGTGGATTCTTCTTGGCGGCGAGGTTGGGAAAAAAGATGTCGAAGAAGCCCTGGAGCTTGACCTCATCCTCCTCGGCCCAGTCATTGGTGCCGTTCACATCCCGCCCGTACAGGAAATTTGGCTTGGCAGCAGGGGCCGTGGCGGTCGCGTCATGGGGAACGCGGGCAATGACGCCGACCGTGGCGACGGCCACTGCTATGAGAACGGAAGTCTTCATCGTAAGGAATGGTAATTATCTGGGAAGGTGGAGAGAATGGCAAACGGGAAATGCAGCTGAGAGATGGTGGTTGGTGGTAGAGCAGGCGACATCTGGGACCAGAGGGGGGGAATTTCTATGCTTTTCATAGTTCATGGGAGCATCCGCCAACAGTGAAGGCAACAAACTTCACTGCTTCAACTATAAACCCATGGACGAATGTGACGATCCTCTCGCGCCCCGGAGAAGATGCTGCAACTCGTGAAGGCAAAGCGGCCACGCCTCCGGCACTTTCTTGCTAATCCGGCACTTTGGTTAGGCTTGCCGGCACATGTTTTTGCCATTCCCGAGGCGGAGGGAGGCTTAAGGAAAGGCTCACTTTTCTCGGCTTACCCTTTGAGACGAGGCTGGAGATCAAGCTTTTGGTGTGCGTCTTATTGATGCCAATGTCACGGGCTAGAGCCCGGCCGAGATCTCCGGCTTTGCCGGAGCAGCTACCGAGATCCGGCTCCGCCGGATCCACTATTCTGCCGTAGCACACCGCCTAGCCCCGGTCTGCATCACTGCTGCTAGGCGCCTATCCCTGTAAAGTCCTTTCCTCCTTCTTCAGCTTAGAATAGTCAATCGACGGCACCTCT